TTTATGTGTAAGAAAATTCTGTTGATTTACATTGCTTTACTAGCACATGGAAAGCGGTACATGCATACAATTATTTGTTGTTTTTTTTTATTTTGGTTAAATGAAAGCGAATATATTTCGAATTGCACTCAACGGAAATGACGCAGTTCATATCACCCAACGTGACCCCTAATGATTATAGGTAAACAGCACAATATATCTGCCAACAATCATATCTAATGACAAAACAAACTCATTTCTTACACAGTTAATGAGCTGCTCTGGCAATCTATTTTTGTTTTTAAGTTATCAATGGTAATTTTCTGGAACGAGGGAAGGGATCGTTTATAGAAATGTTGATTCATAAAGCCTTTACTGTTGAATGAAAATTGCTAACCAATTAGTACGAAACTTCAATGCATCTAGAAAAAGAACATATGCGTGTACTCACGATTATTTTTTTTTTTTCGTCTTTCGAGTATTCAAAAATAAAAAAATTAACTTTATTTTAATCAGAAAATTGATTTATTTTTAAGGTGAAAAAATGAGACATTACTTCTCTTCAGACATTAATGGTTCGTTTGGTGGCCATTTTATCACTCAACGTTCCCTGTTAAATATATTTCTTGTGTCAATAAAATAGGAAACGGCGAAGTTTACGACATCAAAATCCATGGTGCATAAAGGTTACGAAATAACCCTGATATTCATTAAACTATTTATCTTTTTCTTTCTGAAAAATATACATAATAATTTTCATAATCAATATTTAGTTTAAGGAAGTATTATACATTGTTTAGTTTAAGGACCCTTTATACATTGCAACCAATAGAGTTCTAATTCGATCTAAAATCAGAGTGATCTACCTTTAGACTAAAGAATATTCAATATGTAATAATTTTAAGAAATAATCTAAACTATAATGACATCCACATGCATATCTAAAATTAATACTAATGAGTAATATGCATATGGATCTCATAAGTTTATAAGAATCGGAATTATATGCTAAACAGTTCTAGACTCGTTTATTAACAAATTAATTTTATTACAACAAAAAATAATCTTGCTATTTTTGAACAATAAATCCTTCAATGAAAGATAGACTCTTTTTTTCTATAAATATCTTTTATATGCCCTCGATGAGCAAAACATTCTATTTTTTCTTGAAAATTGTCATTTTCAATTAACCCAAAATCGTTACCTCAATTTTCAAGGTGTCTTCCCAGCTCCTTTTTAAAAACTTTCAAATGATTCTTTTATTAGAGCGAGTTGAATGAAAGTGTTACAAAAATACCAATCCAGAGTGACCTATACCTTGCAGTGTTAATTGATTTTGCATGTTTTGAACTTCGAACACCTTCCATTTCTCTGCTAACTGCAGCATTTCAAGTCCAAACAATTACGAGAAAGAAAACAGTTGTCCATGCGTATCAACAGATGTGTATATTTTACCACTGTAATTACTATTTTTTCGTTGCATGAACTTCAGAACGGTATATATACTCAATCATACGAGGAACATTTAAGCTTTAGTAATGGTTCATGAAAGAGTGAGGCGAAAAATGAGAATACACTATGAATTCCTTTACCGGAAAATGAATGTGTTTAGCAGGCCAACGCACTTGATGGGGACAGTTTGAAGCAAGCGTAAAGTACATCATTCTATGCATTGTCTGAAAATTAGTTTGTTTCATTCGTTAATGATTAAAGATGAGGTAAAAGTTCATAATAGAATTATTGCATTCGAAATGACAACCCCCACCTCCAATCAAAATCATCTAGATTAATGAAGACATCAAAAATTACACGTGTACGTCTAAGTGACTTGAAATGCTCGTTTACTTTTGAGAGTAAGGTGAATCAATTATTTAATTATTATTGTACGATATTTTTTATTGTATAATTAAAATGATATATATAACGGGTTAACTTTGTGAAATAGATAAAGGCGGAACGTAAAAGTTCAACTTCATAACACTAACCAAGTACCGTGTTTTGTTTAGCGTAAAAATTTTGCACCCATTTATATTTTCTGAGAGTTCATGGACATCTTTAGGCTATAATTATATATTTTGCTAAATTCTTTAGCATATTAAACCCCTTGCGTGAATTTGAAAATTAACAGATGTGAAAAATTCTGTCTTAAAACTATATAATAAATTTTGTAATTGGTTCTTAGTCTAAAAAATAATAAAACTCCGTACAATTACCGGCATAAAAACGAATTTAAATCTTTTATGTTGTAAAATCAAAAGCGTTAAACACTGAAGATCTTCACAATCCATAGACTTTACGATAGCCAGTTTTTCATGTTCCTTTCTTTAAGCTTTAAGTTGATGTCATCATATTATCTCTTATCAAACATTTCATCTAAATCACATATTATCTGCCTTAAATTTGAACAAAATATTTAAAAACCCAAGATGCCATCGAACCATTTTTTCTCACTACGGAAACAAAGCGATTGTGTATAGAAATGTGGTAAATGTTCTTGGCCAAGTACAGAAAATATACTTATCCCCATATTAAGAAATGAATGACTCTACTAATACGTTTAATTATCGGAAAAGAGAATGTTCGCACGCCTAGCACAGGATGGAATTCAATTTAAACCTTGTTTTTGACCCAAACACTATTCACCTTAATATGATTGACTTCTATGTTGATTGATTACAACGTTATAGATTATTCAGTTTAATCGTTGAAATAGAACTAGATTTTTAACAATAATATTTGGTGGGTAAAGTTATCTCCCATTTGTCTTAGCAGGTTATCTACCTTTGATATACTAGTAACTTTAAGGTACATGTACCCCGATATTCACTCGTCAATGTTTCACATACTAATTACTTGATGATAGACGGGTAGACACCATTTTGTTGCCATGATTCTAAATCAATCTATTTTGTTAATATTTCTTTGGAGATCAAATGATTTTTCTGTTATTCACTCGACATTTTGAAGAGCCTTGAGATACGACCCCCTTAACCGTCGGTTCGCTACCTCCAACCCTTAGCGTTGTCTTCTACCACATTTGCTAGCTTTGATCGCTGCAGTATACACCATAATAGTATATATTATCTCAGGTGGGTACCATTTACAGCAATATCTTTTACCAAGTATAAAATGCAGGATTATCCCCGTAGTCTAAGGCTTGTTATACTCGGCGCCACCCCTTGGCTTACAGATGTTAAAAGCAGAGTGCGCTTATACTATATTATCATCGTTTGTACAGGTATATGCCTCATAAATTTTTTGGGGGTATTTTACGAGTAAACAGGTTACTGGACTTCATTTAAATGAGTTCTGTCCCTCTAGCAAACGAAATGAACGGCAGTTTGGTGTGAATTAACCGCTTAACATTTTTGTCGCTCTCCCACTATTTCCGCTATCACGGGGAAAATCTCAACTACTGAGGGAAACAAATTCACCCCTGTGTGCCGATAAGTAAATAAAATTTGCATAATCTGGATTGTAAAAGCACTGTTATGAGTATTTTAAAAAATATTTGAAAACATGTGTTTTTCTTTTTCTTTGATGCTCGTTTCTGGACAATTTCACAAAAAGTAAAAATGCATGAAACAGATATTTTGCAACTTTTTAAATATACACTTAGCGGAAACAATTCATGTTTCGGATTTCAAAAAGAAAATAAAAGTCTGTTTCGATAATGGACTGTGCATTGAATCGAGTTCCAGCTGTATTTAGCCTTTGTCCAGTTATTTTGATAACCTTGAGTGTATATTTTAACTATTTTATGACTTCTATTTTAAAAACTATAGAGAAAAACCACCATTAAACTCTTGGGAAAATCAGAATTTATTTTAACACAGAGGGAGGCCTTTAAAGACGTTTAAGAATCGCTTTAATAAGCTTAGATTTTAAATACTTGTGATTTTAGAGGATTTTAACGGGTATCAATCTGACCTGCCTATATCAATATTGAGGACAGGACTTATTCAATCAATTGCATGTAGTGCTCTTCTTTTTCAACACTCGTGTGAATGTATTAATGCAAATCTCGCCTTCTAACCAAACAATCCTCTTTCAATAATATTTTCTTTTAAAGACTTGTATTTTGATTTCTTGCGCTTCGCAGCATTTTTTTTCACCTGTTGCATTGAATTCTTACTATCGGAACAACAACAGCGCTTGTTGTTCTAACGGTGTTGTCGGCGCCTCTAAATTACACGACATCAGTGTCCATTTGATGATTTATTTCAACACACGGACAAAGATACACCTTGAATATGAACCGGAAACATAAATATCTTATTGAAAAATTTATGCAATGATAAATAATTAAAACATGGTTCTTGCGACGTGATTAATAGCTCGTGCTAGTTTCACTAATCACGCCACATATTTTTTCGTCCATTATTTAACTCAAGTGGTCAGAAATACCAAGCATTACTTAATATAGTTTCATTTCCACACAATGATCGCACTATTTAGTACCATTACAGCATAAGAATACACATTTTTAAAGAAAAAGGGTCCAATATATCCCTAATCTTCTTTCAAGTCTTATGTAAGGGGTGCTTAATTCTACTTTCGACACGTTCTCTATTGATTAATCTGTTTCGCCTAATCTTTCATCAGGGAAACATTTTGTTGCGCTTTAACATACTTGCGTAAAGAAAAAAAAAACTTACTGAAAGGTACGATATCCCAAAAAATACAAGAAAACTGATAGGTGGGCGGAGCTAAAGAAATTTTATCCAATAGAGGGGCGTATTAGGGAAAGAGAGACAGAATACGTTTTGTGGCTTTCCACACAAGGTGTATATGTTTGCTATTTGACGAGGGGTGTATACACGTGTTTTTTATACTAATTTTGATATCCCCATAAAAATGTGATTACACTGGTGGATTTTCTAATTTCTGCTACAGAGGAAGAAAAATATATTTGTGATATTATTTTATTTTAAAGATCATATCATGATAAACTGGATTTTTTGCGGCCCGAGCTGACACACATTACTATTTTATTTATAGATGATTTCGTTTCAAATTACTCTTAATAATGTGGCGGATTAGCGTTATTGTGATTACGTTGTCCGTGTGTCTGACGGTATGTGAGGCGGATCTTACAATTTGTGAACGCAATCCAATTCATACGACAGCTGAAAAGTCTAAGGGGGATAATGGATTTCAAATTTCTTTTTTGGAACTAGAATCCCAAAAAGAAGCTAAATTCAAACCTGGACAAAACTACACAGGTAATAAACAGATAGTAACTTACTCCAATTCTTAAAATATAAATAAATAATGCATTTTATTATTCTGTAACAGAGAAATATGCTTGAATGTTCATATCAATTTACATTATTACAATTTACCATAATAAAATGTGGCACTTATTGAATTAGTAGAACCACACTTCGTGCTCGTTGAAGACACTTATATTAGTCATCTGCCCCGATCTCCCGGGGGATTTAGAAGAATTTAATAGTGAGAGTGAGTGAAATCTTCACCAAGAAAGAGAGATATTGACAAAGTGATATTAAACGTCCGAATGTTATTTTTTAATTTTGTGTTCGTCGTTCCCGTTTATTAGAGAGTGATACCAAGAAAAGTTCACTCAGAGCACGTGAATATTGCCTATTTAAACGCAATCTGCTCTACTTAAGAATAAGAAGTTACAGGGTTTCGATTGTGTATATACAGTGGCAAACTTAATGTTCATTAAAATTCATCTCTGCCTCATAGGGAACAAGTTATGGAAATCGCGGTGCATCGTGTTGGCTTTGAAGGGTTTTGTTTATATATATTGTATACTTTTAACATTGTCTCAGGTGTAACTTACGTATAAATTTATTCTACAGGTAAAGAAATTTAATATATTGCATAGCTCGGAGTTTAAAAATGATTCGAACGGTTTCATTCCAATGCATATTTTATCCATGACCACATGAATTTTTTATTGTCTACTTTGCACTTTGTTATAGCTTTCGGCAATATATCTATAAAGTTAACGTCGTGTAATTTAATTGATTTGTCCTACATTTGTTTTTATGTTAGAAAGCTTCAACAATTCCTTGTTTTATTTTTTTTTATTTCAAAGTTTACAAAAAAGAAGATAAATTTGATGTCGTTTCTCCTTGAAAAAAGATTTTTTTTTTATTTGTCTCTTATGACGTCTGTAACATTAAACTTAACTTGAAATGTTCCCAATAAAAGTCTCACAATCCATGAAAAAAGATAGTAAACTGCAGGAAAAAAAGATAGAAAAGAAAAGTAAATTCAGATTGAAAGCAACAAAAATATCTTGCATGGGGAGGGGAACTGTGTCTGATTTTATATTAGCAAGAACAAGGTCACTCGACCCTGATCGGCCAAGTTCGGACAACAATGTATGTTTATTTTGCAATTACTAGTTATCGTTTGCTCCGAGATTTGAAACCTGAGTCAGTTGTTATACATGTGAAGTTATTATAGATAACTAGCAAATTTTGTCAAAATTGAAGAAAGTTATCCTTGTTTTCAATACAATAGGCCTGTTTAGTTAGTTTCTTTGATGTGAAGTGTTTTGATGGATTGGTGAAGGGGTAATGAAGAGTTGCTAATCGAACACTCTATCATTAAATCCTTAAGTTATTACATTGTTTAGGAACGCGTGCTACGACTGTATGTCTAACGTTCTTAAAATTTTATACTCCATATCAGCAATTTATCATCAACGAAAAAAACAAACAAAAGTAAGGGATCTGACGTGGCTATGAGATGAAGTTCATGTATCAAAGAAAATACAGCTTCTGTGGAACCAGCAAGTGCTATTTCTTGATGAAACGATACCATTTCCGGAAACGCATTGAAACAGTTGCATGGGGTCTATAGCAAAAGAAAAAAGACATTCTGTATTATATATGATTTAAGAAAAAAAAAATCCTGATCCATTACCAAATTCAATTGCTTAAAATATGCAAAGGCAACAGCCTTATCTTGTCGCCATCTTGGCAAATGCGTTCAAACTTTGACAAGTCTTCCATATTGTGTAGATATATCTGAGGATGAGAAATAGCCTAACACGAGCTTTAACTGCCATTCTTTCGTTTGAAATTTGATTTTATGTAACCTTAGTCGACCCTTCCTGAATAAGATGCCTCGCAAAACATGGAAAAATAGGAAGATCTCATTCCGTTTTTATTGAATATTTTGGCAGAATATCATCATTAAATACGTAATACAAGTAGTCGGTAAACTTGCTCATGGGTGGGTCTCACTATACATAAGTTAATAACAACAATGCTCATTTTGAAAATGATATGCAGGGGGTACAGCTAGATCCTTTCAGGCTTTGTGCGGGAACCTACTCAACTCAGAGTGAAATTAACCACTAGGTTTCTTACACAATCACCCCATATCTTTCATTCATTGTCGGTTATATGTATAGTGTGTGAATGTTATTCTTGCACAATCTGTTGTCAATTTCTCTCCAATGCTCATTTTATGCCCGATATTTTTGCTTTCAAAAGGCAGTTGACAAGAGGTCTTTGTATCCTTACATGTTTAATTTTTTTTGCAATAGCCATACAAAAGAATCTTTTATTGAATATAACATATTTTAAATCCATATTTTAATTTTTTATATAAATGAATCTATTTACTTTGATTTCTTTAAAATGCTTGGGAGAAAAAAAAAATGCCGGCCTCGCTTCGGGTAAAACGGGCACCCGGCAAACCCTAACTCCCATGCTTTCCTGCCACTCGGTACACCTCGGCCGATTCGTACCTACGTATCTAAAAAATCAGTGCTTTGCTGAATGGCTAATCCTGCTAACTATTATAACTAAGACACTGGATTGTGTCCCAGGAATCATTTCTCAAGTCTGGTACAAACATTTTGCTGTCATATTTCAACAATAAACGGCTGTATAATTATGACACCCTTTGTAACTGGAATGTGCAAATATGTATTTGACCATTTGAGCATCATTCTTAGAATAGATTGTTTATTAAATACACAATCTACATCTGTTTTGGAAAAAAGGGAAGAAAGCTAGGTATTAAGGTATAAACAGGCGAATAAAAGCATATAATCTTCTTATAATATTGCAACATCTTTAATCACATGATGGACATGCGCTAGTATTATTACTGTAATGGTGTCTAAAGGAAAATTGAAATGATCGCCAAATTTGATTTCTTTCTCTCTCTTCTTTTTTAAATTCGGGAAGAGCTTAAGTATAAGTATGTAGATTGATCTCTTGATACAAGAAGTTGTGCTTTTGATGTTTGGAATTCCAGATTAAGACTCTTAATTAACGCTCAGCAATACACAATTTTAATTCTTTATGTACCGTCTGTCTTCAACAGCATTCTCCAGACTACAAGTGTTTGACAGTAACTTTAAAGAACAAATATTTATGAAGTACACGGGTTACATATATCAACACGGGCGAGGGCGAAATGACCACTGTTAATTGTCCTCGAAAACATGTTTTTTGTCCCTAATTCTTGTAAATCCGTATAAAGGGCTTAGTCCAGACACCTTTTCTTTTGTCTGTCTATATATGCCTAATCACCTAAGAAAATTGCCCAGGTACAGTGGCTTTTGAATGCTATTCTCGTACATCAACAGAAAGCGCGTCCGGATTTTGACATTCCGCCTGCAGATATGCGCTCTTGGTTGAATCTGTTTTTTAGACAACACCCTGACAAATGACAAAAAATGTTTTGGCCAATTCGCCGAAATTGATGACCATAAAGCGTCAGTGGCCGGAAAATTCATTAAAAGGAAAATTATTTACAAGGTGGTAAAATCAGGTGACCTCGAGCAACACACGTTATACTATTTTAAAAAAGAATCGATTTTAATGAATGCAGTTAGATTTGATTTTTTTTTTCTGAATTCAAAGTGAACAAATATTGATAATTGTGAAATGCTTTTTAAGACCCATTCGCTAAAATCCCATACAATTTGATAATTGGATTATGTTTTGTACTGGCCATTTCCTACTTACGAAGAAATGAAACTTCTTTTATGAATGTAATTTAAACTAAAATTGTTTTGAGAGACCTTGGGTAAAATCAATGGAATAAATATATCCGAATCAAGCTTTTTCACTGACCGATTAAAATGTTCAAATATTTGAATTGATTACAAATCGGGTGAAATATTGTAGATATTAATCTAAAATTTAGGACAGATTACTCTAGTTGTGTGAAATTTGAATTCTTTAGGGTCCAATGTATATAGAGAATCCTTAAACAAAACCTGATTGGCCAAAGCCAAATACATGATTTTAATAGTTTTCTACGACGTCGTCGCTATATCCTTTTCCATGTCTTCTTCGCCGTCCGCGTTTCGTTTCTTCCTTGTGTATTCATGAATTACACTCTATATTTAACTCTTAATGATTTGTGATGCTAAAGTACATACATGCCGTGAGGCTTTAAATAAATATTGATCAAAATATCGGTACATTGTATATTTAAATGTAGGTAGGTAAAAAAGATTGAATTGATTGTATAATTTTCAGCTTCTTTACCCCCCTTTTGAATCTAACATTTTCTTCTTCTGGTCGATTTGCGATATGGCGACAACCCGACTTTCCCATGGATGGCAGTCGAGTTTCAGGAGTAAAGTCATCAGGGATTCAAAAGAATTTTATTTCATTTTTAAGTCATCCCTTTAAGAAGGGATAACCCTAAATAAGTTGTTTAATGAGCTAATATTGCGGAGACAGGCTACACGTTCAGTCACGTCCTCCCGCAGAAATGAAATATTCAATTTTGAATTTTAATAAAATATATGTTTATATGTCTTGGAATGCAGACTCTGCCCAAATTCTATGCGCCGATGTCGAAGTTTAATTTCTTTTTAAAATAGGGATATTCCAATACATAAATTTGGCTATTTACACAATACATGACATATTTAATCAACCCGATAAGGGGACCCCTAAACAGCGTTGAACTCACGTTAAGGCGGGGCCTTTACGCGCTTATAAGTCAGTAATCTTATTATTTGCTCTCTCTGTTGAAATAACACTTGGTTTTTTGTGTTTTGAGTCGAGCTATCACTTTGTCTTTTCAGTAAAGATAACCCTAACCTTAGAAAATCTCTACTGCAAACTTTAGGCGCGCATGTGGTTTTCCTTACCAATGATATGGAAATCTCGCTATCTTTTGACGAGTAAATGTCATTGTGTTCGGTAAACAGTGCCCTTAATACTAAGCGATGATGAAAAAGATATATTTTAAATAAAATCTTTTC